ATTAACTCTACACAAAGTATTTCAGGTGTGGCCTCACCAGAGCAGAGCAGAGGAGCAGAATCACTTCTCTTGCTTGACCTGCTGGCAATGCTTTGTCTAATATGACCCAGGGTACCATTCACCTTCTTGCCACAAAGGGCCATTGCTGGCTCGTGTTCAACTTGCTGTCCACCAGGACACCCAAATTCCTTTTGGCCAGGTTGAATTCTAGATGGATGCTCCCAGTATGTTCTGGTGCATTATGGGGTTTTTTTTGTGTGCAGCTGCAGATTTTGTACTTCTTGTTGAACTTCATGAGGTACCCATCAGCCCATTTCTCCAACTTGTTAGGTCCCTCTGGATAGCAGCATCACCCTCTGCTCTGTCTGCCACTCCTGTGAGTCTGGGGCTGTCTGCAAACCTGCTGAGGGTAAACTCTGGCCCATCATCCACATCATTAATGGAGTGTTGTGCAATATTGATCCCTGGGGTACACTGTTAGTTACTGGCATCCAACGGCATCCTGCCACTGATCACCACACTCTGGGCACAATGGTTTGGCCACTTTTAAATTCACCTCACTGTCTGCTTATCCATCCCACACATCAACAGCTTCTCTGCAAGGATCTCACAGGAGACAGTATCAAAGACCTCACTGAAGTCCAGGTAGACAATACCCACTGCCCTCCTCTCTTCTACCAGGCCAGTCACTTCACCATGAGAGTCTACCAAATTGTCAAACATGACTTCCCTTTGTTCAAGCCCTACTGACCAACTGCTGGTGATTTCACTGTCTTTGAAGTGACTGAAGATGGTTTCCAGGATTAGCTCATCCACCACCTTCCCAGGTATTGAGGTGAAGCTGACCAGCCTATAGTTCCCCCAGTCATCCTTCTTGCCCTTCTGGAAGATTTATCCCCATCCTTGGGCACTTCCTCTCATTGCCATGACTGATCAAAGCTGATGGAGATTGCAATGGATCTGCCATCTCTCAGCACCTGTGGGTATATCCCACCAGGGCCAATGGACTTATGTACATTCAGATTGCTTAAGTATTCCCAGACTTGACCTCATCCATCTAGGGTATATCTTCCTTGCTGATTTGGTAACTCAAGTTTGCTGCCATTATCACCTTATTACCTTTTAGGTGGCTGCAATTTCATTAATAATTCATTTTAGAGACTGTTTAGAGCTGAGGTGAGGCTGCCTGGGCAGCAGATTCACAGGTCTTTCTCTCTTTTGCCCTGTCTCATTTCTGTCAGTGTTCTCACTTTCACTAGCTCTTGCAAATAATTATCAAAAGTCACTGTGGGGTAAATTTTGTCTTCTGTTCTTCAAGTCTCTGGTCACAACTACTCCTTTTGGTACTGTAATTATCAGAAGGAAAGATGTGTTGGATCCCTTGACCACCTTAATAACAGGGCAATGCTAATTTTTGCCTTCCTCATCTTTGGCACATACTGTCAGAGCTTCCTCTTGCCAGCTGCACTGTCTCGGAGAGCAGCTTTCAGGCTCCATTTGCAACTGTCCCACCAACTGGCAGAACTTCAACCACTGCATTTTCATGCTTGTCCACTCTTTCCCTATCCCTCAGGAAAACAAACAGAAAAGGCCACAGAGAAAACAAAACAAGAGCGAAAACAAAACAGAAAGCAAAGGAAGGTCCGTTTTTTCAGATTAAAAAAGCAAACAGGCCCCAAGGCCGGTGATTAAAAACCCCAACGCAGGCAGCCCCCAGAATGAGCGAGGAGCAGCAAAGACACAAAAGAACATAAAGGAATTGCGAAAGCTGCCCCATCCACCGCGGGACTCAGCCATGCCTCACTGGGACACGTTCGCAGCGCGTCTCTGTGGCGCAATCGGTTAGCGCGTTCGGCTGTTAACCGAAAGGTTGGTGGTTCGAGCCCACCCAGGGACGCAGAGCGACTCTTTTGTGGCGCGCCGTGTGTTTTTTCCTCCGCTCCTGCAAGAGGCGGCGGCTGTGACCGGCCCGCGCCGCCTTTTACCGGTGGGAGCTCTCAGGACCCGCTTTTGGCTCCGGGAGCTCGCTCCCCCTGCCCAGCCGAGGAGCTTCACCCAGAGAATGCGCTCACAGCGGGGCCCCGGGTGCGCGGTCGGACTGGTCAAGGGGGACAGCAGGAAGAGGTTGCCGCAACGGGAGTTTCCGTAGTGTAGTGGTTATCACGTTCGCCTAACACGCGAAAGGTCCCCGGTTCGAAACCGGGCGGAAACACCACGTTTTTTTCCCCTTCCCGTGTCACCGCGGCCGCGCTTCCTGGTTCCTTCTTTACAACGCGGGAGCGGCCGCGTGGGGCACGTTCCCCGTCCGGGAGGGGGAGAGGGCGAGCGGCCTCCTTGGGCTGCAGCGGGGCCGGGAGCAAGGAGCAGGGACAGGGCTGGGGGCTGCGCTGAAGCTCTGCTTCGTTCCCACGCACCGACCCGTGGGAAAACGCATTTTTCCCTGAAAGATCGCCCAGAGGAGGGGAAACGAGCCTCAGCTAAAACGGTCTGAACGTCATCAAAAAACGCGGGACAAAAACTATAACCACTTGCTGTGGGCATTACAGAAGCCCCTTTAGACAGTAACTTACATGAAAAGAGTAATATAGACCCAGGTCGGGGGAGAAGCATCTCCTGAAGGTTTCTTCAGCCTCTCCCTCGAAAACACACGCTGGAGACACCGGGCCCCTACTTCCTTACACTCCTTTCCCAGTATTTCCTCTCCTCGGTGAGCCCTGTGGCTCCACCGTGTTGTCCTGGGCTGTGCAGCTTCAGCATCTCCCTCCGTGTTTGTGCATGGCAGTGTGAAACTAAAAAACGCCATCAGCCTTATTATCCCACTAAGCTTCTCTTCTCTATTGCTCTGCCTGCATGCTGTCTTAGATCCATACTTAGACTGGAAGTTCTTCCACTCAGAGACCGAATCCTGGTGGACTTCGAAGCACAGCACACGCTTTTGGGCATAAGCTGCTCAAAAGGTAATGCGCTTTGCTCTGAGCACGAAGGGGCTCACATCAAGAGCAGCTGTTTAGCTTTGCAAAAGGAACACAGACAAGACACAATGGCTCTTGCTGATATATTGTCAGGAAGAGAATAATTATTTAAAGCAAAAAGCAGCAATGGAAGAATAAATGGCAATAGCCAGCAATGAAAAACATCAAGACCAAAATCAGATTTGTAATCAGCACTTCAATGGGTTTCTTGAACAGTGCTCTAGCAGGTATACAGCTAGAAATCCATCCAGGCAGCTCCTCTGCAGATGTGTTGCTTTACTGTAGGCAGGATGTGAGAAGGCAGCCCCGTTTTTCACCCTTTACTGTGTTATAACAAGTGTTTGAATGTATCATCATTGAAGTACTAAGATCTGAATCACAGAATCATCTCTGCAGACCTGATTCCAAACTCTTGAATGCCACAATTATGCCTTTCCCAAACCAGAAGACACAGACTAACAAGACTCGGCAGAGAAATCTGGACAGGCTGGATTGAAGGGCTGAGGCCAGTTTTGTGAGGTTCTACAAGGCAGAGTGCTGGATCCTGCCCTTGGGTCACAACAACCCCAGGCAGTGCTACAGGCTGGGGGCAGTGGCTGGAAAGCTGCCCAGTGGAAAAGGACCAGGAAGTGCTGGCAAACACCAGCTGGACATGATCTAGAACATGCCCAAGTGGCCAAGAGCATCCTAGCCTGGATCAGGTGTAATGTGGCCAGCAGTGATTGTCCCCCTGTACTCAGCACTGGTGAGACCACACCTCGAATCCTGTGTTCAGTTCTGGGCCCCTCGCTACATGAAGGACATTGAAGGGCTGGAGCGTGTCCAGAGAAGGGCAACAGAGCTGGAGAAGGGTCTGGAGTGCAAGAGTGATGAGGAGCAGCTGGGGGTGTTTAGCCTGGAGAAAAGGAGGCTCAGGGGGGACCTTACTGCTCTCCACAACTACTTGAAAAGAGAGTGTAGCCAGGTGGGGGCAGGCCTTTTCTCCTAGGTAATAAGAGACAGGATGAGAGGAAATGGTTTCAAGTTGTGCCATGGGAGGTTAGACTGGATGTTAGGAAAAATCTCCTCTCTTGAAAGGATGGTTAGGAATTGGAAGAGACTGCCCAGGGAAGTGGTGGAGTTAGCATTCCTGGAAATGTTCAAAAAATGTAGATGTGGCATTTGGGGACATGGTGTAGTGGTGAAGATGGCAGTGCTCAAAGCCATTAGACTTTGGGAAATCTACCCTAGAACACTGACAAAACCTCCATAATACAGTGGCCAGCTTCTGATTGCTACCTGTACTTGCTATATGCCCATCTGGTGTATTTCCAATTGACAGAAAACTACTACAATACTTTGTATTCTATTAATGGCAAATTAAGAGCTGCATTTGAAAACTACTCTTAATATAAAACACCCAGTAACATTTTAAAATCCAACCAGTTTATTTGGTCATGGGATTTTCATTCAACCTCAACTGAATTCTCACTTGCACAGGATTGGAGGCAGTAAAACATTTATGGAAACAAACAAATCTGTACTCCATCATCTTTAGTATTCTGTTTCAGAATAAAAGGCAGCCAGGAACATGCAGCACCAACAGATTTATTTTCACACCTGCTTTAATCTCAAGAGTTATCTGTTTGCTCTTAGAGCTTCTATATATACCTGTACCCACGCTGAATCCCACACAGCTGCAGACCAAACACTCCCAACCTCAGTTTGTGGAGGGGGTGCCAGTGGTGACCAGAGGTTCTTGCTTCTGTCTAGGTGTATCTGCACAGCAGGTGTGTCCCCACACCCTCCCTCCTCTGCCATGAACCTCATTATAAACCTCTCCACCAGGGTCCACCAGGACCTCCTCAACTTTTAGCAGGGTCCCTTCCTCCTGTTGCCCTGTGCATTCTGCACCACCAACCCTGGGCTCGCTGCTTTACTCACCCCGGGTCTGTGTTGTGTCCCAAGCCAGTGGTGAAGGAGCTCCCATGTCACAGCTGCAGGTCATTGCAACCCATTCATGGATAAATCAAACTCATTTTGGTCAGCTTTTTTTTGTTTGTTTGTTTTAATTAGGGAATTCACAAACGGGCAAACATTTCACAAGCAGTACACCAGCCCTTAACATTCAGAATCCATTCTGAATTGTACTTTGTGTTTTGCATTGTAAGATTACCAATTGCAGTATTTAAAACAAAGAAGCTCAAGTTCTTCTTCACAATAACTTAAATTTCAAAAATGAAACATTCACTGCCTGAAGTACCAGTTTGATAACAATGTACCCAATTACAGCAGAAATAAGTTGACACGGTGCATTCAGGGCCAATGATAGTTTTTCCAACACTTTTTAAACCTAGTTCAAGCAATCCTAAAACCATTAGATCTGTAGCCATGCCTTACAAAAACATTATGTTCAACTGCATTTATTGGAAAATTAAGAATGAGCATTTAATGTTTTGAACTTGGGATCTAAAACAATGAAAAAATGGAGGACACCTCTAAACATGCCTGATATAAAGACTTGCTAATAAAATCCTTATTTCCAAGAACAAGAAAAATGTACAGCTAATCTAACTTGGCATATAATACCCTCATCTTTGTGTCTACGCATTTAAAAAAGACTCCAATCTAGCAAAATGAAACCTATACAAATCCAGAAACACCAAGGTGTGAATCCCCCTGCTTACTCACTGCTGTCTTGCCAAGTTTTTCCATTACTTTCTTCCTACTGACCTTTGCCTCTCCTTGGCATCTCACATACGGTCAGGGGTGCACTGCCTGAGTCATGAAAAACTCCAAGTGACAACAGTAATAGGCATTAACTTCCAGTTAAATTAATTCTAAAAACCTTTCTTTTATTAATTGTTTTTGCAGCTATGAAAAACTAACGAGTACATCTGATATTCCTTCTTAGTGATGCAAACTCTGGACTGAATCTTACTAATTCTACTTTAAAAAAAACCTGGCTCAGAAGATATTCTATCAAGTTACATTTGCAGTTGCCCAGGATGAAAACTCAGTAGGTGCTGTAACTTTAAATAGGAAAATTTCTACCATATATCCATCTTTTCTTGGATCCAAGGGGTGTATACATCAGCATAAGCTTGTAGAACAGTGATTCTGTAAGGAATTGAATACCAGCCTAAAGTTTATAATGTACAAATGATCTTCATATAAGAGGATGCAAAATTCCCAAATTACAGAAGGTACTTAAATTTTTTAAATGTTGGACAAAATAACTTCAGGAGTTGAGTGGAAAATCACTACTACAAAAAAAGTATTTCTTACACCATTACATCATCAAGAGTACAGAACTCAAACTCACTAGAGTATGGAAGTTTTTCATATTAAAAGCAGCAAAAATTAAGACTCATAGGAGCTTTTAATTAAAAATCATCATCATATCTGACAGCTAAAATAATGCTTCTCAAAAAAAAATAAAATTCATTAAACCCTGATTTGCTTGTTACAATAAAATATTAAGGAAAAAAAACCCTCAAATGTACATTGTTCAAGTACAACCAGTGTGCAATTAAACTAGTTATAAAATATAATTTAGTAGTGCTTTCTTTCAAAATATACATAATACTGAAAAAATATTTAAACCCAAGAAACTGAGTATTTACCAAGTTTCAAACAGAGTTTCATCAAAATGAGGTAAATCTATGTCACCTGCCATTGAGCTTGGTGCCGAAATGGAGAACAGGTCTTCGAGGATATCATCTCTTGTAGGACTTTCAAAAGAAAGTTTTTTCACACTGCGTTTGTTTATTGCATCAAGCTCTGAATTAGTGTCCTTGACAGGACTGTAGTAATTGTGGTCCTCACTTGTCACTGCTGTCTGTGGCACACTGGTGTTCTCACTGGGCACGGCTGTTGTCACGCTGCTGTGCACCATCTCCATGTACATACACTCATCTTCGCTCTTTGCAGCCTCCAAGGAAGTGACAGTCGAAGTAGGGGACAGTAATTCCGCCAGTATTTCATCAGTATTGTCATGGCCAGTGCAGCCTGGCACAGTGTCTGCATTAAATCCAGATTCATTACCTGTGACATCAATCTGATACTGCAGCTCCCTTAAAAAGCTCTGCAATAATTCACTGTCATTTTTAGATTCAGTCTGTGATGGGGTGCTTACGTCTCCACTCACAAGCTTTTCCTGTTTCATCTGCTCCACTGCTAATCTATCCAGTGAAGCCAACTTCTTCTTTTTAGCATTAAGCTTTTTTAACAATTTCAGGCGAAGTTTTTTTGTTTTGTCACTGTCTGACTCTTCTGCCTTACCCGAGTTATAGCCAGGTGAAGGTAAGTGAGTCACTTTACCTGAGGTACCCAACGTACTTGCTGACTCATTCCAAGTTGGACCTACAACAGTGGTATGATTTGCTGTTGGAAGACAAGTGCTTTGAGACGATCCTTTGAAATTTGATGAAGGATGAGCATTATTACTCTGAGGAGCCAGTAACTTTGGGGTCTTAGTTGTTTTGTTTGTACCTCTGCATTGAAATCCACCAAAGTTACTTGCGCCCTTACTTGGCAGCCGAACTTCACTTATCTTTTGCACTGAGGGAGTTTTGCAACTTCTCTCATTCTCGAGAGCTGAGGCACTTGAAGGCATAAAAGTATTCTTGCTTAATAATTTCTTTACCCAGCTTCCTATAAATCCTCCTTTTTGGTATTTGTGTGAGGGCTGAACTGAATTACTGGCACCAGAAGAACTAGCAGCTTGAGAATTAACTACAGTTTTGCTTGCATTTTTCAAGTCAGGTAGTATTTGTGTAGTATTTTCTACTGCTAACAACTTCTTGTTTAGCAGTAGTTCTGAATTTAATCCACGTTCTCTGTTAGCTAAATTAGTTCTGTCATTTAATTGAGAAGACAATGAGTCAGATGAATCAGGGACATGTTTTTTGGGCACAGGAGGAGTAATATTTACTGGGTTCAACTCTTCTAGAGGTAAGCAAATACCAGAATTTTCATATAACATGGATTTATTGTTCATAGCTAGACTAGTTCCAGCAAACTCTCCTGTATATGGAGTGCCAAGTGAAAAAGCTGGTTCCTGCTGTTGTGGTGCTCCCCATCCATCAAGAAGGTTATTTCCCTCCATCCGTCCATTAGGCAGCAATTTATCTTCCAAGTCAACTGGAACTTCTTCAAGCATCAGTGTTACAAGATCACCATCTGCCAGATTTTCTAAACCATGTTGAACAATACTTTTGTCCTCAGCTACTTGCTGCTGTTTCTTCTCTGAAGTCCTCACAGAATCCTCTTTGTGGTGTTCTCCAGGTGTTTTGCAGACAGTGTTATCAAAACCACAGTGCAACGCTGTGGAATCTGAATGTACATTTTTAAGAGCAAACTCTTCACTATTTTTACTTTGGAACTGTGAATTCAGTTCTTCTGGCACATGAGATGCTTTCTTTTCCCAGATAACAATATGAATCTCTGAAGGAGGAACTTCAAATCTTTTACGTCTCTTGCAATACGGACCCTTTAAATCATCACATTCAAGCCAAGTTCCTGAGAAATAGAAACCAGTGACTCAGAGACTTTTAAAATTTGTCACTATCCTCATACTTGTCAAGTATTTTTATTAACCAATTCCCCTGACAAGCAGAAAATAGAGGTTTTTTTTTTTCCTACAGAGAAAACTGGGAGACTTCCACTGTAAAAAGATCAAATACAAGAAGAACTTGCAGCAATATTATTACAGGTCAGAGTAGGTCAACCATAAAACAAAGCTAGCTAAGGCTTTTTTTGGCTGAAACATCTTGTCTGAAAATACCCTCACAAGTCTGAGGTAAGAACCACCTCTGAAATTAAGTTTCTCTGTAGACCTTTTCATTGCCTGGGTAGGAAGCACAGCGGCTAAAAAGAAACTTCTCATTTTAATACTCTTGTCTCATTACCTGCAAACTGTTCGCAGATCATGGAAGAATATTTTACAGCTTCAAGAATTTTAAAACAGATATATATGACATATAGGAGGGTCTTAACTAGGCATTTCCCAGCTGCTTCCTCTTTCTATTTTGTTTTTATTTCTGGCAGTATGACTTAGACAATATTCATGTTGTCACAAAACTTCATGAGACTGCACCCCATGCTCTCTACAGAGGCATGATTATCAAAACATCACCTTTTCACCTTCTCTGATTATGGATCTTCCATCAGTGGTACAATCATCTTACCATTAGTAGTGTTTCTAACATGGATTTGTGCTTCCCACCCCTGAGGTGCCATAAAGTTCACATATAAAAAATAACTTCATTAATTTCTCATAGGTTACATTGCTTCCAGCCAAGAATGGATGAATCACTTGTTTAAAAATAAACAATACTATTTGTTCCACAGTCATGGTCAGACTGCATTTTTTAACTTTTACGAATTTATGAAGGGAACTCTATAGCCAAATTACTTTTTCCAGTAAAAGCACTGTAAGACAGCACAGTGCAGTTAAACCAACCCAAAACCTTCACTCTGAGAAACAAGTCCCCCCAGTTATTTGCAACATTTTAATATGAAACTTAGAATGCAGACAAAAGAAATCTTTGTTATTATACACCAACAGTTGAGACTACTGAAGTAACCCATAAAACATTTCATGTAGACTCATGCAATACTATGGTAGATAAGAACCATAAACTCTATCTTATCTCTCTCTTTTATGAGGAAAGACTGAGGGAGCTGGGCCTGTTCAGCCTTGAGAAAAGACAACTGAGAGGGGATCTCATCAGTGTCTCTAAGTATCCAGAGGGAGGTGTCAGAGGATAGACCCAGGCTCTGCTCAGCAGTGCTGAGCTATAGGACAAGAGGACATGGGCACAGACTGATGCACAGGAAGTTCCACCTGAACATGAAGAAGAACTTCTTTAGTGTGCACTGACCACACACTGGAACAGGCTGCCCAGAGAGGTTGCAGAATTTCCTCACAGGAAATATTCAAGAACCATCTGGATGCCATCCAGTGCCATGTACTCTAGGATGACCCTGCTTGAGCAGGGAAGTTGGATGACCCCCTGTAGTCCCTTCCAACCCGACCTATTCTGTGATTCTTACCATCAGGATTCAAAGACCAGCTTATGAAGTGCTTCTTATCTGTTTGGTACTGAACAACAGATGTTACTTGGTAGGTGTCATCCTCAAATTGAAATGAATATTTCTCCAGGTTGTTATGTGGCAAGCCTTCCACAAAATGTAACACTAATATTGAGGATACTCTGACAAAGAAACAATAAGGAACCAGTTTATTACAATAAAACAGTGGCAAAAGTTCCTAATGAAAAAGTAAGACATCTCTAATAGTATGTGTTTCTGTCCTTACTATTCTACTTCCTCACAGACTCTTCAGATTGCACATGAAGCGCAAAGGGAAAAGAATATCCCAACTGGATATTCCATTTAATTATAGATTAGGGGAAAAAAACCAACACCAAATAAAGAATTCGGGGAGTGGAGAAAAGTTAAAAAAAACCACTGCTGTGCCATAAACACAGTAGCAAGAGACATTGTTCTCAAGTCAAGTAAGTAATCAAATGATCAAACAACTTTTATCCATAGTAGGGGCTGTGAAAAAGCTGACACTGGATATCAGTTGCCTGTATTTACTACTTGATAGTTAAGTATTTATGACCTAGCTCAAACATATGTGCTGGTCAGCATGTTAAACACTGCTCTGTTTCATGTTTAGTTAACACTATTTGCTATTTCAGCTTTTAAGAATGATCTAAAATCTTTAAAAGTGAGTACTGATCAGAGTTTAATGTTTAGAATCTCTGCAAACCCACAGTAATAGACTGGTTCTAGAAGTCATAGGTTCAATAAATGAAGTCTCAGAACTTTATGTATGTTACTTTCAAGTTCACATATTCAAACTTACTTTTCCAGGATCATCTGTCTTCTTTGAGATGTATCACCACAGTTACTACATGATCCAATATGAACAGCGTTAAGTGGATGCCAATCAGGGATTACATTTGTAAATGTTGTTAGGGTTCTTTTCAATCTGGACACACACATACACACATTAAAAGAGTAAACTGAGTTGGTGATCAGAAAACAATACATATACATACTTTACCAGGAAACAAGTCATAAAACCATTACACCAAACCAAAATTCTATTCACGTTCATGCCATTTGTGTGGAATTCACTGTGACAGCATCATATCCACGTGAGCCCTTAATTCAGTTCTGCCAAACAGCATCAATCACAATTTGTTTTCAGCAGCCCTGTGCCTTCAGCTTCATATTATTTGCTTTTTCTCCTTTTTAATGTTATCTCTGTTTCCTTTCCGACATAAGACAGAGTTTGTACCAGAATCTGCATAATTTACTAGCTAATACAGAATCTCAAGAAGAGAAGAAAGGAGCAACAACCTGAGAATCCATGTTATACAAGGTCTTGTTTCTAAAAACCAGTACATTCATAGCAGAGATTACACAGAGGTAACATTGTACAACGTACAGGATATTAAAGTGAAGTAAAATAGTTTATTCATTCATTAGCCACGGAAAGGACTTCCTCTATTCAACCAAAACTACAGATTTCAACTTTTGAAAAGCATAGAATGTAACAAAGGATCTTGAAGACATCCTATTAATCAGGGCTTTCCAGAGTAACAGATAGAATTAATCTCATTTCACTTGGGGATCTGGAGTTTTATTATATAAACCTAAGATGGTGGAAACAGATGTTTTTCAAATAAAATGAGCTGTCTTCTGAAGGTGTCTCTCTTTTCCTGATGACTCTAAAAGGAATCTAAATTACAAGCTTGTACCTGCAGCTACACAGAACTAAATCAATTCTCAAGAAATTACTCCCCTATAGTACTATTTTAAAATAGATAAACTATGTTAGATAATCTCTGATTCTTTGTAACCCAGGTGAATATTCCAGGTATTTTGCAATAGCAGAAGTGTACTAGGCATCCATTCTTTAAAACCACAACAATTTGTATACTCTCAGCAAAACATCAGTAAGGATGTTCAGAGATTCACACAGTTACCTATTGTTTCTTTCTTCATTAATTGATAACATGGTTGCTTAAGATATGGAATAGCAATAAACTATTTGCAAATGAAAAAGCAGATCATGTAAAACTTCAACAACAAGCTTAAACCTGGAAACCTGAAGAAAACCAACTATTATATACAGATTTAAAAAGGTAAGGTAGAACAGCTATATAGAAGCTAGTTATATAAAAATCTCACCGGTCCTGGTATTTGTGGCCACAATGTATACATTCAAACTTCCATGAAAAGGAATGTAAGAATAGTTTCTCAGCTTGTTGATCCACTTGTAAGAGTTGCTGAAGTGCAAACACCGGATTCTTCATACCACCTTCAAAGATGGGGCAGAAAAAAAAGGTCACTAAATATCTGAAATCACCTTTTAATACCTCAAAAAGGAAGAAGATAAGCTTATTACTGTGATTTTAATCTCAGTTATTGTTTCAAGGCTCTATTTGCAATTCTCACAGCAAAGGGAGTGATCCATGTTATTAGGTTGTTATCGGTGACAATGTCATGACTACAGCATAATTACAGAGATTTTCTGCTCTCTAAAAAGTCAAAGTGAGCAAAGGACAAACTGGCTGATCATACTGTAAAGTATGTGCAAATCAGCAACAGAAACAAATGTATTTCCAAACTTTCCTGTATGCATACTACACATATACTTCTATGTGTGACATAAAAGGCTTTACATCTAGGGTTTCCTGAAAGTAATTACTAAGACACTGCACTAATTACTTACCCAATTCACACCTCAGCTGAGGCTGAAGTTCTGTAAATATAACGTTTCTGATTTCATTGAGCTGAGATTCTGCTTTTGGAAGAACATCTAAAGAAAAAAATACATGTGTCTTCATGTAGTCATGTGTAACATGCCCCACACCTTTTCACACACACATGTACCCCTAGCACGCACTTCCTCTCTGCAAACCAATGCCTTTCATAGTGTCCCATGCTTGCCTAAGACTTGTTGGTAGAACAGCCAAATCTTGGTATTAATCGAGTTGAAAATTAGAGAAGAATTTACACAAGTTACTCACAGTTTGCTGCAGTCTGCTGGCTAAAAGCTACTTGCTCTGACTTAAATTATGACTAAGAGCCTGCACCAACAGCTTTGCAGCAAAAATTTTTAAGGACAGTGTGACCACACATTACAAATTCTGAAGATTCAGGGATTAAAAGAACATTTTAAAACTTCAGCATTAAGACCAAAAGCACAAAAATTTGTTCGCTTACATGCTTTCTAAGGTTATACAGTTCAAATAATAAAAGATTTAAATGTATTATTTCAGATTAAATACCATTTCCTAATTGAACCTTTAAAGCAGTAAAAACAATTTTAAATTTAAAGATAACTTCTTACTTTATGTATCTTAGTATTTTAATTTTGCAAGTTGTTTAAACACAAATACATTCTTTAAGCACAAGCAAGAACATAACTTCTACTACACAACCATGATCATAATATGCAGAAATTAAAGGAAGTACACAGAATAGCTGTTGAAACTGCTTATTACATATAAACTGTGTATAGAAAAAAAGAAATAAAGTTTCTTGCAGCTGTATTGCTTTTGATTGCTTTTAAAAGCAGCTATATGCAAAAGATATTGTAAAATTACACAGAAGAGCAGAATGAATTCTACACCTATTCTCCACAAAAATACTCTTCATCCAATCCCCTCTCCACTGTTACCCAAATGAACTGATTTGTTTTGCAGCAGTTGAAATGAAAAAGGTTCAAGTTCTTTCAAAACAACACTGTATTCCAACACTTAACATTCCCATTTAAGGGTTACTGCACACCAGAGCTCCTTTGCAAACACAGCCCAACAAAGAAAAACATCTCAGACAGGTTCTAGGATGGCAGAGGGATTCCCAGTAACAGCTGAGCACCTAAACTCAAGCAGCCTGACTTCCTGGCAAGCACAGTACATGAACTAGTTCAGAATATTTTGGGGTTTTCTCCCTGCTTTGTAACATGGATTAAACCACTTCTGATACACATTATTTTTTCCAGGAAAGATAGGACCTTATTCAAGTTACCTAGAGCTGTTCTGTGACTGTGGTTTACATATTCAAACTACGTAGTCCAAGAGAATGTCCCCTGAAATTCAGGAGAGGTACTGGCTAACCAGAGAGCTTTATTACTTCTGTAACAGATCATATCTTAGAAGTTTAGCCTTATAACACCAAAGGTCCAGTTCAAGAAAAATAAAAAAGCCATGATCTTAGTTTAGGAGTCTTAAACAGAATCCATAGAACAGAAAATGACTAAAGGCCACATGAGTAGAATACAGTGACACATCCTCCTCAGTTACAGTCCTCCAACACGTTAATCTAAGCTGACCTGGTAACTCCTTGTTAAAGGTTACTGAGTACTCACTAACCCTTTCCAGACCATATGATCCAGGTTAATGTGTTTGACTGCTTCTGACTGAAGCAGGTTAGGAAACACTGTCATCTACAGCAGCTTGCAGACCTCAGGGGAAGCATTCCTTCAATGAGCACAGCTGGAGTCAGAAAAGAACTGAGGTTCCCAGTTTTACTATTTTTGGTGTGACAAGGCAACTGCCCATTTACACAAGGATATAAACCACAACAGAAATTGTTTTGAAGATCAAGATTAGAACAGTATCCTTATATGTTAACCAACAGAGGGGAAGGAAATAAAGGAAGCGTGAATTACATAAATAATTAATAATATCTTTATGTTGTTTATGACAAAAAAAATTTAAGAGATGCTTGCTGCTTGATGCCTTCAAAGAGTGCATGTTTGCCCCAAGAAAAACCATTTCAGATATTTCCAGGATTTTGCTAGATAAAGCAAAATATTCTGCAAATTCATTGTAATAGTTGTATTTTTTGTGATCTTGAAATAGAATGGAGACATCGATAAGTGTGCTGTAGTAAATTCCACATATTTGTAGCAAATCAGTCTGACTATGAGAAAACAGCAGATAAATTAACTCACCTTTTACTTTACTCCTTTTACAGGTATTCAGAAGAATAGATGTTTGATTATACTTTGTTAAGAGTTTCTGGAATAAACATTTTCCATTGTTATCTTCTTCTGCTAGAGCAGATTTTAATGTTTCTAAGTGTACCAGTGCTGACAAAATACAGTCTAACCAACAAAGATTATGTATGTTTCTCCACTGAAGACACAAATCTCTGTTATTAGTGGAACCTTTATCCCCTTTGAGTGAAATTTCAGATGCTGTTGATAAAACCTCTGAATTTGGCAACAGCTGTGTTTTGAGACTAGAAGTCTTTGGTGGACTTTTTTGGTCGTTGTTGGTCTTGGTGGTTGTTTCAAAATCCACCTTCTGCATGCAGGATTCCACCTGGCTGCCAGGGTTTTGCTGGTCATTTTGTAATACATGATGTAGGCTTGCCTTGGGAATACACAAACTATTCTGGTAGCCTTTCACAACGGAGTGTGCATTAATGGTGTGCTCAACGTTGAGCACACTGTTAGTTCTTGCTTTTTTTGGATCTGATTCAACAGCAGAAAAGTCACTGGTATCACCCAATTTCCTTTTCTTGTGAGTAGATGGAACTTGATGATTTTCTGAACCAGCAGAAGTAATTATGCTGTTTAATGGTTTATAACCAAGTGGGTAGATACACTAAAGGGAAGAAAGAAGGTTACAGTGAAATCTACAAAGCAATTTCAGGTGAACAAGAGCTAAAGAAAGTACAAAACACACTTTTTAAATGGAGTTGAATCACAGAATCATTTCCATTGGTTTGGAAAGAACCTTATAGACCCTCCAGTTCCAAACCCCTGCCATGGGCAGGGACACCTTCTAGTGCACCAAGTTTCTTAGACCTCCATCCAACCCAGCCATAGGGACTTCTGTAAAGTGGTATCTTAATTAAATCAGTACATATATTGAACATAGGTATGAGAGGAAGGGTGTGTTATCCCACCACTGTCTTATAAGCAACTATGAACACTTCACACTTCACCTTCAACACTAGTTTTCCAGCAAATTCTTCCAACCTCTACAAACAACCTAATTTTGCTAATAAGAGGCCTCTTGTCTTATCCTGCTAAATCCATTCCTTTAGGGTAGAGATTTGACATCACCCTCTCACGGCTGACAGACTACTGGTGCCCAACCTGGCAGGGTATCTTTCAGGCTAGCTCAATGATCAGGAAGCAATCAGCATACAGAAAATTCTGTTACCAATCTCCAGAAGTATACTATAATTAGTTAAAAACAGGAAAGAATGGGAAAAACAACTCTGATACCCATATCTAGTCTAGTTTCTACTAATTTAAGGGCACCAGTCTGTTTGGAATTGCTATACTCTCCCCACATATAAGGAGCAGTGAAGAAAGAGGTACCAAAATCTCAACTCAGATATTAAGCAACACAGAAATCCACCTAAGGTTGACATTAAATAGGAAAAAAAAAAAAAAGGAAGGAAAAACATTGTATTTACAATTATAAACCTATTTGTATTACCCACATTTAGCGGAGGGAAAATGGGAGACTCAGATCCGCTAGAGTTATGTACTAGTTACATGGATCACCAAATACTCACCTTCTACTCTGACTTGTACAAAAATTTACTTAGTACCACTTGCAATCCCTTGTTACATGAGAAGAACTCTCCTTTATTTAATTTTAATCTACTCTTTTTAATCCTTTAGGGTAGTTACCTATGCCTAAGCACTGCATATATACACACAGGTTAGTTCTGTTTTTTCCTGTTTGCAAGCAAATATCCTGCAGCATACAGACATAAGAGGGGTCCTTCCCACAGCAGTCTGCTTACCACCAACAAAATCATGGACTTAGAGAGGTGTAACTGCTGAAGGTAAAGGTCTCTGCAGGGCCAAATAAATCTCTTTTATTAGTGTAATACCTGAGGATTTTCACAAAGGAAAATGGACTCTTGAAAATTAAGGCGGTAACTCCGTAAACCTTGGATCCAACCCTTCTCTTTGCAGACCGGACAATACTCATGTGCAGCTGTTTCCACAGGATTACAGTTCTAAAATAAAAATAAACCATGAAAGATAAAGCAGCATAAATTTATGTATTTCATACATTATCCCAAGGTAAGACATACTTATCAAGGTACAAAATTATTGTTCAACTTCTAGACATAATACAATACAATATAAAAAAGCAAACTACATTGGTTTCTTTTTTATTATTTTCAATATATTTGTATGGTAGCATGTTTTAAATAAATTTATACTTTTATTTAAGTATTTAAGTAAGGTGTCTTTAACAACACAATTATGCACATTTTATTCTACTTGAACTAAACCACAGGACCCTTATTGCCAGGGAACACAAGCTCAGATCTTTGAAAGATGAATCAATTTTCAAAGGAATGCAAACAGTTATAAAAATAGTGCCAGTAAAAAAACATAGGCACATATTTACTTAGAATAATCTTTCGCCATTGTTATAGATTTCCGTGGAAAATAATTGGAAAATAATTTTCAGATTTCTTTTGTACAATTAAGACCAATTAAAAATCTCTCAAAATAGAGAAAAATATGAACTTTGCACATATGTAAAACAAGTTTAAACTGACTTTTCCCAAATACCCCACCATGTGGAGTGTCGATTTCCCTATACCAGTCCCTTCTCCAATCACTTGCAAACCATTTGTAGTCTTCTGGGTATCCATCATTCTGAGCCACTGGCTAATTTATGTCACTTGTAACAATGTCATGACCACTAAGGATTTTTCAAAGACTCCTGAAAAATAAGAAGTGAATAAAACAATTAAAGAATAATTAGACTGAAGTCTGGGAAAAAAATACCAACAACAATGCAGCTTCCATAATTTGTGGAAATTAATTCAGAAGAGTATTTCCTAAACTGAAAATACTTTTTTCTTTTGTTCTAGTGCAGACTGTGAACTCAAAACTTTAAATTAAGAACTACAGGGACCCAATCCTGCTCCTGCTGACTTGAAACTAAATAGGGACCCAATCCTGCTCCTGCTGACTTGAAACTAGATAGAATAAATATGTATCTCTTCAAGATGAATGAGGAAGTTATTGAATTACAGTCACCAATGCAGTACCTTTCCTTCACCCACAACTGCTCCCTTTTTATTACTTCACTGAAAAACATTCTCTCCCACACCTCAATGTCCTTTCAACCCTATTATACAGTATAGCAACAACTCCTTACAAAAAAGAATTTCTCCAGGCATTCCTGAGACCAGTGTAAATACTAGTTCAACCTAAACCTACTTACAGTATTTGGCAAGAAGAGACCCCACAGAACTGCACAGAATGCAAAAATCCAACAGAGCATGAATTAAAAATGCACAACAGAAAAACACAGCCACTCAGATTTCAAATCAGAGCCCCATGGCAACTTAAGAGTGGGTCAAAATGAGATGATATCCTATCGATACTTTCAGTGTGTCCAGCAGCACTTTTCAGAATTATCTGGCTGCAGCATGTAGAGACAGTATTCCCTGACTGATGAAACTAACGGCTGTAATAGAAGGCAAGAACATAAAAATATCAATCCATGTGCCTCAGAGCACGTTTAGCTTTTTAAGTAATGTTGTAGGGTGCACAAGAAACAGCACGGTCCAGGCCCATGCAAGGTGAAAATTAATGAATTGGCTCATGGCATACAAGCTTGTTGGAGTATAAAGGAAAGACAAGCACTCCGACTTTTCACACAGCAGCAACAGCACTATCACACTGCAACTCAACTCTTTTATCATATATTTAGTCTAGCCAGAAAGTTGACTCGTTTTATATAATTACAAGTTGTACAGATAACAACCTTTATCATAGAATATATCATACTAAAAGACATAACTTTATTTTTCAAGGGACTTTTAGTCAATTCCTTGGCATGAAGCAGCCTCAGCACTCCAGAGTAAATAAAAAACAGATCACATGACATAAACTCTTAAGAAATTTCTCACCACAAAATTCAACACACACTCAAAAGGTTAGTAACACTAAGGACCTGGAGGTTATTCCGTTTTAAGCATGCCCCTTGGCTTTATGAAACATATTTACTTCTTTGCAAGGCCCTGTTTACCCTATCAGCTCTCTCAGAAAGAAAGCAATTTTTTTTTTCCAATTGTGCTCCGTTTCTGTTACTTCTGCTTTTCTTTTTAAAGCTTAAATATTGAGATGCATAAGATATTCTCAGATGTACAATACTTCCCCCAGTTAATAATCACCCAGCCAATAGTACCACAATACTGAAATAAAGACTTTTATTTCTCTTATTAATACAATAACATTTTTAAAAAATTAATGATCCTTTTAGTTCAAAGACAAACTACAAAGAACAAATTAAATGGGTCTGCCAGTACTAGATATGCAGAGTGGTACCAAGAGGCCTGCCTGTACTCATCAAAGTTTCTAACATTACAGGAAGGTATTGGTGATCTTTGCACAGTGTACAAACACTGGGCATTAGATCAATACTGCCAACAAAAACAGCCAAGTAAAAGACTGCTGCATCAAGTACTGCAACAGCTCATTGTAGCCACGTGCAATAACTGCATTACAGATGGGAAAGTACACAGGAATGCATGATCAACCTTACTAGGTCATGTTCCAAACAATTAATGCTACTTTCCTTCTTTAAGTTGCAGTACTGAAAAATGTAATGCAAAATATGCTGTGGATGTGGCTTAATTATCACTGATCTGTGGCTACACTTCCTTGAGTATATGAGTTGATCTAACAGCTTGCTGCTGCAGAATAGGAGCATCACTTTTCTTTTATTTCCCTTCCCCCCACTTTCCCTGACAGCTCATGCCTTCATCAGACTTTCTATGAACTAAATGAACTCACAGAACAGCAAAAAACTTAGTAAAGCACAAGTTTTTCTGCTATTCCAGGGAATTAAATTGGCCTATGAAAACTCCAATGACTAGGGAGGGCAGAAGATAGAAAATAAGGAAAAGATGAAGGATTAGAGACATAAGGGCTTAAAACAGAACTGTTAAATGCGTAAGGAACTGGCTGGATGGCCACATCCAAACAGCTGCAGCTCAATGCACCAAGCACAAACTAGGACCTGGTTTCCCTCAAGGGCCCATATTGGAGACAATACTGTTTATTATCTTCAGCAAAGAGACACAGACTGTGGGATCTGGATTCTGCCCCTCCAGTCTACTCTGGTGAGACCCCACCTGAAGTGCTGGAAACTGAGTAATGATGTGGACCTCCTGGAGCGAGTCCAGAGCTCCTCTCCTACAAAGAAAGGCTCTGAGAGCTGGGATTATTCAGCCTGGAGAACAGCAGGCTCTGGAGATACCTCACTGCAGCCTTTCAGTGCTTAAAGAAGGCTTATAAGGAAGAGATAGAGACCTTTTACTGGGATCTGTAGTGACAGTACAATGTGCAGTGGTTTTAAATTTAAAGCGGGCAGATTTAGATTGCATTAAAGGAATATATTCTCTACAATCAGGATGGTGAGACACCTGGAGAGTTTGTTCAAGGAAGCTGTGGATATTTCATCACTGGAAATGTCCAAGGTCGGGTGGGACAGAGCTCAGAAGAACCTAGTCTAGTGGCCCATCCCACAACAGGGGGATTGGAATTAAATGATCTTTAAAGGGCCCTTCCAGCCCAGACCATCGCATCAAACTATTCTATGTAAAAGGGACCTGGGCCTTTGTGATAACAACTGTACCTTGTAAAACGGTACCTTATGAATTACAATCAGTTACAAACTGCAAAAAGCAGGCAACAACAGTGATTACGCTACAGGGAAGAGAACATCTTGTTTAAGGGTTAAAAGGATATTTTAAAATAACCTTTTTGTATACCACCTTATAAGCCTTGTTTCCTTCCTCAAGGGGATATTGAAAAGATTAAAAGAAACAAATGTGAAGAAAAAAGTGTTATTAGTTAACTTTCCATTCTTTACACAACAAGAAAACAAGAGTATTAAGGTTTTTCTTTATTTGAGGTCGTAACTACAAATATCCAAATCTCAGTCCCTCCTTCAAAAACCGACAGTTTTGGCCACAAAACGTATTTTGTTACATCTAACAGTAACATCATTCCTGTGAGATAGCAACTCCCTCTCCAGCACAGCCTGTACGTACTGGGCACTACTGCAAGGCTCCGTGGTGTGGGAGCAAACATGAATTCCTTTCCTGAGAATAGCCTAACACAGACTAAGAAAATAAAGTTAAAACTGAGGACACTGCAAAACAAACCGGTGTGCAACATCATTACTCCACTGTTCTAAGAGTTTCTTCTACGGGCAGACTTCTCTGAGACCTCCGTATATTAAATGTTTTTATGGGTGTATGACAAGGGATGGGGACTACATTTTGCTGGCAAATCATTCAGTCCCTCTGAAACAAAAACGCGACTGTAGGAAAAACACAGTTTAAACTAGTGCAGTTTATTATAGCTGCAGGTAAGAGGCAAGACTTCAGGAAGGCAGGCGATCTGTGTCCCAAGGCAGTGGCAGTGGGAGGCACGGGGGGTGGATGCCACCTAACCAGCCGTGAGGGCAGGGCAGGCCCGGCCCAGTGCGGGGCCGCTGCCCTCCCTCCGTCCCTCCCACACCGAAACGTGCCCGGCTTTTTCAGATAAACCCATGGGCAAACTGCCTCCTGAGTTCTTACTCCACATCCAGAGTGATCCACACGCTACGGAAAGACTGCAGAAGAAAAAAAAGCGTTCACAGAGTTAATCTCTGAATACCAGAAATCCGTCCCAGGGGCGGATGCGTGCGGACACACACACGCGGTTCCTCCCCGGGCGCGTCTCTGCCGAGCGAGCCGCGGGAAGGCCCGCACCCTTTCCCCCGCTGCTACTGACATGAAATACTCAGTCGGCATTTCGGGACCCGCGAGACGCCCGCGCTCTCCGCCCCGGCCGCACCGGAGGAACCGGGACAGGCCGGGCCCGCCGCTCCCGGCGCCGGCCGAACCCCGGCCCGCTGCGCTCGGCGGCCCCGCTCTCTCTCACCTGCGGCCGCCGCTCCTGGCTCCCGCCGCTGCCCCGGACCCCACCGCGCGTGGCCCCCGCCGCCCGCTCGGCGGCCGCTGCGCAGCTTCCGGCGCACGCCCACCGCCATGCGGCCCCGCTCCGCCCCCCTCCCCGCTCCGCTCCCCTCCCGGCAGCCAGCGGAGGCGGAGCCACCGCCGGGCGGGCCCTGGGCTGCGCCGAGCGCGGCCAGCGGCGCCCGAGGTATTTCCCGCTCCCTCCCTTGCTCCTCCGCGCCCTTCCGCCCCGCTCCGTCACTCACGTGGCGTGGTGGGAGGGGACGGCGGCGGGGGCCGGTCGGCGGCGGCTCCCCGGGCCGCCCGGGCAGGGAGGGCCTGCACCTGCTACCTCCGCTGCTGAGGAGGGCCGGGAGGCGGCGGCCCCGCAGCCCTCGCCCCTGTCGCAGGTGGGGCCGCGCCGCCGCTCGGCGCTGTGCCCGGGGCAGGGAGTTGATGATTAACCTGCGGGCCATCGAGTACCTGGCTAAAGTCGCGCCCAGGGTGGGGTTTAACCTTGTCCCAGGCTCGGTGCTTGCCGTGTGACTCTGCCCGACACCCTGGGGCGGCCAGTTCTGCTGCCGCCGCCGAAGCGCTGCGGGGATGCGCAGCTCCCTATTGAAAATCTCTGCTCTAAATCTCAGCCTAGATCTCGCCTCGCAGTCGTTTCTGGAGGTTTCAAGAGGTTGAGGTGATGTGGGGGTCTCGGCGAGCGTCTCTGCGCCAGCAGCCTCGGGCTGCAGTAGCTCGAGTGTTTGTGGCTGGCACTTGAATCCATGCTGGCCTCTTTTCCTCGAGCTGAGCTGCGAGGAGCTCAGCAGCTGCGGCATTTAGGTCAGTGCTCCGCTTGTCTTGCGTCAGGAAAGCTGTCAGTGCGGCCCCAGCCTCCTGCTGCCCGGGGCTGCAGGAGGGAGTGAGTCAGGAGATTGTTCCAGAGATAACACAAAAAATACCTTCTCTCCTACTGCCTGCCTCTGCTTTCCTGA